GAGAGAGAGAGAGAGAGAGAGACAGAGACAGCGAGACAGCGAGACAGCGAGACAGCGAGACAGCGAGACAGCGAGAGAGCGAGAGAGCGAGAGCGCGAGAGAGCGAGAGAGAGCGAGAGAGCGAGAGAGCGAGAGAGAGAGAGAGAGAAAGAGAGAGACAGACAGACAAAGAGAGTTAGGTGGGAGAGGCAAGGAGTGAGGTGGAGGTAAAAGGGAGTTGTCACATCACCAGTGATATGTGACATACTTTCCTACCTGTCACCACTGCTATGACATACCTTAAAATATATGTCACCGCTGCTACGACAATACTTGCATTGTTCACGTGTCAACTGCAGCAGGAAACAATTTGACCCCGAAAAATAAAATCCCTTACTGGGATGTTCTGAATGGGCTGTACCTGTGATTAAGCGTGATTAACCCACGCAGCACACGTTGAATGAACCACTGGCAGTTCCAACAAATCAGTAAAAATAAAAATAATGTATAAGAAATCTTATAGCACCACTAATAACTCTCCTATCTGCAGTAAACAACTCCTCACTGCAAAAAGAAAAGCCAAACGTCGGCGCGAATGCTGACTCTCTGCGCTACGCTGCGTACTCTCCATACATAATCTAGATTTTCTTTTTGCAGTGAGGAGTTGTTTACCGCGGATAGAAGAGTTATTAGTGGTGCAATAAGTACATATGTATGGGGAGTAACGCAGCGTAGTGTAGAGACAGCATTCGCGCCGACGTTAGGCTGTTCTTTTTGCAGTGAGGCTTTGTTTACCATTGAGTTTTGTTTACCGTTGTTTACCGTTTGTTACCGGAGAGTTATTAGTGGGGCAATAAGATTTATTATACATTATTTTTATTTTTACTGATTTGTTGGAACTGCCAGTGCGCGCGGCGTGTGTTTATATGTTACCTGTGCGCAGGATTTATACCTGCGTGTGTCTCACAGCCAGCCACCTTCCTTCCTGCCACCCACAGGCACTTGGAACGTCTCAATAAAAAAAAGAAGGTAAATAAACACGAAATGTATTTACTAGCAAAGTCCTAATGTTTCTCTACTCTATGTCGCCTATTATTGCCGATAATTACCCGTAAATGCCGGTCAACTGCTCATCTGCAACACACAAGTACATCGCACGCCTGCCCTGTGCACAAACAACATAAATAAGAGAGTTTTATGTTAGAATACTCTCTTATTCATGTTGTTTGTGCACAGGGCAGGCGTGCGGTGTACTTGTGTGTTGCAGATGAGCATTTGACCGGCATTTACAGGTAATTATCGCAATAATATTAATAGGCGACATAGAGTAGAGAAACATTAAGACTTTGGTAGTAAATACATTTCGTGTTTATTTATCATTATTTTTTTTTATTGAGACGTTCCAAGTGCATGTGCTGCCACCCGCGCGGTATCTCATTGTTTCGGTGGTTACACACGTTTCTGTTTGTACTTTGCACAGCGGCGGTATAAACTCTGTGTCTTGTCTATCTGTCTCTCGCCGCTTTCTCTGTCCTGTCTAATCTGTCTGTCTCTCTCTACTCTCTCATGTTCCTGTCTCCTCTCTCTCGCTCCTCTTCATCTCTCTCTTCTCTCTTCTCTCTTAACTCTCTATCTCTCTCTCTCTCTTTTCTCTCGCGGCTGCTCTCTCTCTCTCTCTCACCTGTCTCTCTCTCTGCTCTCTGTGATCTGTCTGTCTGTCTGTTGTCTGTCTCTCTCTCTCTCTCTGTTCTCTCTTCTCTCTCGCTCCCATCTGTCTCTCTCTCTCTGTTTGTCTCTCTCTCTCTCTTCTCTCTTCTCTCTTCTTCTCTCTCTCTCTCTTCTCTCTCTACTCTTGTGTCTTCTCTCGCTCTGTCTGTCTGTCTCTCTGTCTTTAGTCTCTCCTCTGTCTTTGTGTTGGTATAGTGACCAGACAGACAGCGATTTCCACTATCTGTGTTGCATCCGACACTGTGTGCGTTAAGCCTCGTATGTGTGTGTGTGACATGTGTGTGTGTGCTGTGTGTGTGCGGTGTGCGTCCGTGTGCGTGTGTGCGTTAGTTGCGTGTTTGTTGCGTGTGTGCGTGATTGCGTCCGTGTGCGTGTCGTGAGCAGAATTTGATGATGTGTGTGTGTGTGTGTGTGTGTGTGTGTTTGTGTGTCGCTGGTCTATGAAAAACGGAGGCACAATGTGTGTGTGTCGTGTGCGGCGACGCGCTGCAGACGCAGTGTGTCTTGTGCGTGCGATGCGTTGCGTGTGTGCCGCATGGGCTTTGCTGCTTTGCATGGACACCGTATCAGGCGCGACACATCGGTGGATAGCGTACTTGTTTAGCGGGTGGGTGGGGGATTGTGGGAGGCGGTTCGGTGTGGGGGTGGGGTGTACTAGTAGGGCGGAGACGGTCTGCGGATGTAATGCCGTGACAGGCCTAGTGTGAATTGTTGTGCGCTGCGTGTGCGGTGTGTGTGTAGTGCCGATGCCGAGTGCGTGTGTGCGTGTGTGTGCGTGTGTGCGTGCGTGTGTGCGTGCGTGTGTGTTTGTGCGTGCGTGCATGCGTGCGTGTGTGTGTGTGTGTGCGTGCGTGTGTGTTTGTGCGTGCGTGCATGCGTGCGTGTGTGTGTGTGTGTGCGTGTGTGTGTGTTTGTGCGTGAGCGTATACGTATGCGTGTGGGCCTGCGCTTCCACATTACTATTCGACATCCACTACTACATAGTAGTATCCGATTCGAGAGCTAAGAGCTAATAATAGCTATATCAAGAGTGCCTCTATTATTCACTCCTGCCTGTAATTATTCGGTCTTGATAGTGTATATATTACGGGACATGTTCTACTCTACGTGATATCCGCATTAAAGAGGCGTGCCAGGAGTTTTTGCATTAACCCACACTGCTTATATATGGGTCGTTGATTATGTTTATTCAGCCACACAACGCCCGCACTTTACTCCGCTACTAAACCCGATTAAAATCTATTACGTAAGTTGTCACTGTGACTATACCCCCACTGTCTGTGTGTATGTGCGCGGGCGCGCGCACGTGTGTGTGTGTATGTGCGTGAGTGCGTGCGTGCGCGCGCGTGTGTATTTGGTAGGCTCTAAAGAATAGATAAACAGTAAAAAAACTAAACTAAACAAAAGAGGCAGTGAATACAAGTTGTGCTTGTTTATTATAATTTTGTTATTGTAACGGCCCCAAGTGTCTTTGTGCACGCAAACACATACGACCGCACGCACACACGCACGCACGCACGCACGCGTGCACTATAGCAATTAGTAGTACTAGTAGTACTATAGTTATTAGTGAGCATGTGTGGCACTGCAGGGCACACTTAGCTGTGCTAACAGTAGAGAGTGATTCCTCCGTTTATTTGTCAATGGTCTGGGTATGCTGCTGCTCCCCCCCCCCACCCACACACANCTCATACCCCACAGGTGTGTTCATACCTGGGTGTGTTCATACCTCACAGATGTGTTCATACCCCACAGGTGTGTTCATACCTGGTGTGTTCATACCTGTGTTCATACCCCACAAGTGTGTTCATAGCTCGGTGTGTTCATAGCTCATAGATGTGTTCATACCCCACAGGTGTGTTCATAGCTAGTGTCCTCATACCTCACAGGTGTGTTTATACCTGCAGTACGTGAGACATCGTCCAAGCTCTCATACGCGTGTTACTATCGTTTGCTGCAGAGTTACGAGGCGGCGGTGACGACGGTGCCGACGACCCCCAGGGCGAAGTCGACGAGAGGTGGCGCCACCGTCACGCCGGCGCGGACTCCGCTGGGTCTGCGTAACGGCTCGCCGACGTTCGGGAAGCCAGTGAGGAGGCTGTCGGCCGGAATGTTCCTATTCAGCGCTCTGAGCGGGGGCGGCAAGCTACGCAAGAGGTGGGTGTGTGTAGGGGTGGGGGTGGGGTGCATGTGTGTGTGTGTGTGTGTGTGTGTGTGTGTATGTTTGTGTGTGTGTGTGAAATTAATTACCACATGGTGGTATGCAAGAAGGATGAGCGTGCGTACTTAATGATAATACAGGTATACTGGAACGTACCCTGGTAACTATTTGATATGGTTAGGGTTAGGGTTAGGGTTAGGGTTAGGGACTAGGCGTAGGCGACTCCCTAGACTCGTTAGTGGAGTAGGCGAGGTACGGTCCGGCATTTTAGGTAGTACCAGGGTACGTTCCGGTATACTGGACCGTACCCAGGGTACGTTCCGGCAGTACCCTGGGAGACATAGACCTTCTCAGCCATACTTACATGTACGGCGGCATATGTAAGTGCCACTGCTGGCTGCTGGGGGAGGGGGGTGGCTGGTGAGAGCGAACGCTACCAACCATATGTCTTATTGCTTTCAAGTTTGCCGAGGTTCCCGCCATCAAATATTCAATACAATAACGTTAACGGTGTTTTTTGGACGCGTATCAATATTGTTTTTACCACGCGCGTTTATTATGATTTTATTTTCCATCCCCAAATCTGCCAAGAAACCGGCCCTGCCAACGCACCCTTGCTTCAAGGTTAGCGGCAAGCGACGGTAGATCAATGGTTACCGTTGTCAAGGTTACAGAGCGGTAACGTCTGATTTCATATTGCTGATGACCCTCCCCCTCCCTCCATCCACGTCACGCACCGCCAGCACAACACACACAGTCTACTACACTGGCACACACACAACAACTCGTACAACCGTCACTGCGAACAAGCATCACAACACGTAATACCACCCTCTCACCACAACACAAAACGCACGCCACATTACAATCTCAGCAAATTATACACAACTTGTCCCACCCACCCGAGTTCTGCATGATCATTACCGTTTTTCCACACGGCTAACGTTGCCGGCTCCCGCTCACAGGCTGATTTGCTCGCTTTCACACAACTGAACGATAATGAATTTATATATATGTTCCATAATGCACATAACATACCTACCTGAAGAGTTTCATGACAAACAGGGCCAGCTAGCCCCTCTGTTTCTGTCGCACCAGCTACCCCACCGTGCAGCAGGCAGCGGGGGCGGCCCCCCGTTACGCCATGTTTCCCGCCCTTTTTCCGGCAAAGCGGACACTTGCGCTACGGCTAGCACTCATCTATAACGTCAACTGGTGCGCCATGATGCTGATTATGCTACTCGTCTGCCCACTGCTTATCGTTACTAACTTAGGTGCCAACGCCTGCCACGTGCTTCATAGCACGGAAGCGAGACATATGCCAACCTGGGCGATGAGGACGCCACGGGGTACGGCCCCAGGCAACATGTTGCGGCGGGGGGGCTGTGTTAGTGGCGTGACGCGGTGCGCCCCACAGGGCGCTACACATGGCAGGCCACGCCAATTACTCCGGGTGGCATTCTTCGCAACGGGTCGCGGCAAAAAATAATGGCGTGCTCTGTGCGTGGTCTGGCTAAAAATCACTAGATTAAATGTCTCTCCAAATTAGCCGAGAATAGACATGCCAGCGGCCGTGAGAGCGGCTTATGCGCTTATATGTCACCTTACTCGTTAGTGTTGTCTGTATGTGTGCAGCGCAGTGGTGTGTGCGTGCGTGGTTGCGCCAGCGCGTGAAGCGCACGTGTGGCGATGTCGTGCGAAACCGCGGCGTCATGGTCGTAAGTGTGCGCGCAGCGTATTCAGACCGTGGAGCGTGGTCCGTGTGAGTGTGCGCGCCGTGGCACCCGGCCAGAGGACCCCGAAGTGTAAGTGTGCGCGCTAAACACCGCGCGCACCTATAGTAATTAGTAGTACTAGGTGTCGACTTCAACACCGACGACGCCCGTTGTGCTGAGATCGAAGCGGGCGTACAGGATCTGCCTCGTCGGAGTGCGGTTCGTCGTCGTCACGTTGCGCCGGCGCAATCGTGCGCTAGCGTTGGCGTCGCGTGTAACGCTGCGTGTGTGCGTGGCCGGGGCGCAGCTGTTGCCGCAGCCTTCCGCGTGCGTGTGTGTTGCGCGCCCTCCCGCGTATGCTGTGCAGCGCCGCGTTAGCGTGATGTGTGGCGTCGGCAGACTCCGGCTGCGTCGGTGCGCGGCTGGCGCGCACGACTCTGTGCGGTACGTGCGTGCCGTGCGTGCTGCGCTGACTGTGACGTGAGAGAAGCGTGGGGCTGAGTGGTATAAGGAAGCGAAATATGGGAAGTAATAGGAGTGACTCTCAGGAGTCTCCCTCCAGTGGGGAGATAAGCTTCCTCGCTGCCCCTACAGCAGTTTGCTTGGTAAGACGAGACTCAGCCATTAGGTACAGGACCCTGTGTCATGCTATAAAACTGTAGTTATCCCTCCAGCCAGGGGCTTAGCAAGGGGTTAACGTTTTCACACCGGCTTTGTTTGAGTGTTGTATTTTGTGCGTTTGTGGGTTTGTTAACGAATGCACTTTCCAGTTCACTTCCCGTGCTAAAGGTGCGGTCTGGCTGTAGACTTAACAAACAATGGTGCGGCAACCACAGGCAAGGGCAAAACCAGCAGTCCGCTGCACCGCACCTGCAGCCGCTCGCAACAATAAATACCGGATCCAATTAATTCTTTAATTAATTAGTTTAATTAATTAATTTTTTCCACTTAATTAATTAAATTAATGAAATTAAAAAATTCACATTGAAGTAGAATTCAGAGTCTGCCTTGCGAAGTGTCGTGTGCTCTCTGCGAGTGCTCCTAGTATAACACGCTGACATAAGGCACAACTAATCTCTCCTTCCATTAGGAATCAGAGTTGCCAGAAAAACATATAGGAAGCTAGTTAGGACTAAATATCTCAATGACATAACCTTTGACCTGACGGTTCACTTCGAAGGTGATGACATTTTATACTCGTGACGACATTTTTTTAAACTATATATATAGTACGTTTCGAACACGCGTCCAGGGCAGGGGGGAGGTCCACGATCTGATTAAAACCCGCAGTATAGGGGAGGGGGAGAATCAACCACGAATGAACAACCCCCACAGCAGTAGCCGTGAGGGAGGAGGGAGTCCACACGATGACGAAAAACGCTCACCGCGCACGTAGGGAGGGCGAAGTGTCACGACATGACAAAACCCCGCGCAGTAGGAAGGGGGTGGGTCAACACTCGGCACGGTTGCCCGCCGTCATATTCGCCATGGCACCTACGATTGAAAACAAACCCCCCGCAGTAGGGGAAGGGGTAGAGTCACACCGACGAGAACGAAAACCCCACGCAGTAGGGAGGGGGAGGTCACACAATGAACTAAAAACACCCCCTGCACGTAGGCGAGGGCGGAGGTCACTAGCGATGACAAAGACCGGACACCCCCCAGTAGGGGAGGGGGCTGTCACACGATTGACAAAAAGCCTCCCGCCAAGTAGGGTGAGTGGGGTGGTCACACGCGACAAAAAGCCCCCCGCACGTTAGGGGAGGGGGAGGTCCCACGATGATAAAACCCCGCAGTAGGGGAAGGGGAGATCACACGATGACAAACCCCCCAATGCCAGATAGGAGGGAGGCTCACACGAATGGCCGACAATAACCCCCTTGCAGTAGGGGAGGGGAGGTCACAGACGATCAACGAAAACCCGCCCGCAGTAGGGCGAGGGACGGTCAACAACGATCGATCAAATCCGCCCCCCAGTAGGGTGAGGGGAGTCCACACGATGACAAAACCGCGCAGTAGAAGGGAGCAGGTCACAGCGATACAAAAACCCCCCTGCAGTACGGGGAGAGGGGAGGTCAGCACGATGACAAAAAACCCCCCCGCAGTAGGGGACGGTGCGGTTCACAAACGATGAACAAAAACCCCCCCGCAGAGGGGAGGGGGGCCGTCACAACACTGACTAAAACGACCCGTCTCGCAGTAGGGGAGGGGGAGATCACACGATGACATATAACCACCCACAGCTAGGAAGGGGAGGTCCCCACGATGAACAAAACGCCGCGCAGTAAGGGGAGGGAAGACATACAATGACAAACCCCGCGCAGTAGGGGAGGGGGAGGTCACACGATGACAAAACCCCGCGCAGTAGGGGAGGGGGAGGTCACACGATGACAAAACCCCCGCAGTAGGGGAGGGGGAGGTCACAGCAATAACAAAACCCTGACCCCCGCAGTAAGGGGAGGGGGAAGGTCAATACGATGACAAAGACGCGGAAAATAACCCCGCGCAGTAGGGAGGGGAGGTTCATACAATGAAAAAACCGCCGTGCAGTAATGGTGCAAAACGTGACAAAACTGGCTCTGTGAAGTCGTCCAGCAGCTGCTTGACTGCTGGCTCCTGTCCTGCTGCTTGCTTGCTGCGCTTGTCCTGCCCCGCCTACCTCCTACTTCTCCTCCTCGAAGTCTGCTGCTGCTGCTGCTGCTGCCCCTCCTCTTCCTGCTGTTCTTTATCTTCCCGCCTCCTCCTGCCTCTCTGGCTCCTCCTGCCGCCCTCAGTCGGCGTGTTAATGAAAGAAGGATCGACAGGAGACACGGCCGCAGAGCTGTCAGGGCATACAGCTAAACCGTCACCAACGAAGGTGGCGCCCAGGAGCGCCAACCAAACACGCCAGGCGGCGTCGCTTATTCACCGGATAGTGACTGTAATTTACGCGAATACACACTGGACAAAACTAAATGCGGTTTTCAGGGGGTGGGCGGGTGTTTCCAGATCTTGCAGGACGAGGGAGGAAAAGGGAGGGTCGTTCA